TGGGTTCCTTTGGGGTATATTTTGTCCCTGATGAGCAGAGCTTAGTCTCTCTCTCTCTCTCTCTGCGTCCTTGTGCGTGTCCTGAGCCACTTTCCTCCACCACTTCCTTCTGCCTGAGGTTCTTCTGCGGCACCATGGCCCAGAGCAGTGGAGTCACGTCTATGCAGAGAAACCAAACCCCCCTCCACGTCGGCATGTGGCAGCAGACTGCAGGGCTCTCACCTCAGCAGCTCCAAGTGTGGGCCTCTCCGTGAGCCCAGACTGCCCTGCTCTCTGCCCACGCTGTGTGCTGCAAGCCGAGTGGCAGGTGGCTGGGGTGAGACATGTGAAGCTCACCAGGCAGAGGGTTTGCTGGTTTGCGGGGTGTGGGAAGCCATTCTTGCACGTGATTGGGCACCTCCCTGATTGGGTGTGAGGCTTCTGGCTAAACTGTGTTGGAACTAATCCCCACCCTCTTTAGGTGCGAGAGCCCATCTGTGTGGGGGTGTGACTGACCATTGACCCTGAGACCAATCACTGACCCTGACCTTGGAATGCTGTCCCCCTCGACCTTCATTGAATGGAATTTTCCCCTGAATTTCTTATTCCCCAATAAAAGGCCACTCCCTGGCGTGCTCTCTCTCTCTCTCCTGCTAGTCTGTGTAAACCTCCTTGCCCCACCAGGTGGCTCGAGGCAGGAGCCAGAGGGGGAGCCGTCTCAGACCTGGTCAAAGAAAAAGGTAAATTGAGTTTTGTGTGTTTATTTTGATCTCACTAGTTAACTTCTATGCTACGAACCTCTTGTATGAAGCTGCGTGCTGGTAGCGCCGTCCCATCGTGGGAAGAGAGACAAGGGCCAGCACCTTGAGGCGTGGCTGCAGTTTGGCTGGGTCCTGCCAAAACTTGGGAGGAAAGACAAAAACCATGAAGGAACATCCCTTCTCCTCCTCCTTCCACTGCCCTCTGCCTTCCCTGTCTGCGTCCCTGCTCTGGTTTGGGTAGCATGGCCAAGGAGTTGGGCTCTGGACTCGGGAACTGAGGAAGGTCAGTGTCCATTTGGATAACAAAGAGCAGGACCCCGAACATGGCAGAGAAAGAGTGAGGGTCTGAGGGAGGTGAGCATCAGCACCATGATCTACAGCCTTCCGACCAGCGCTCCCACTGCAGGAGAAGGCGTGTTGTTCCTGCTCGTGTGACCAGGAATGATCGCCACGCCACACAGTTTTCACTGCGAAGCCACCGCGGGCAGTGCCTTCAAGGCGGCAGGTAACAAAAGCGCTGAATGAAAATCCATTCAAGGGTCTCCACTTGGGAGTGAGGGCAGGTTCCATGCTCCGCTGAAGCATCAGGGCTGAGCTGCCTGCCCAGACTTCCTGTGTCATGTCCTCCTCCTCTGCTGCTGCTCATCTGCTGCCCTTTCAGCTGCAGAAGGTTTTTCTCATGGAGAACAGTAGGATTTCACAGATGGAGGTTAAGGTGACTATCAACAAGGGAAGCTGACTGTCCTGGGAGATGAGGGCAGGGTCAAGGTCCTGACCTTCAAGCCACTGCTGGCTGCTGTCCCCCCCCCCCCGCCCCCCACAAGCCAGGTGTCCAGTACTTTCCTTCTGGGTTCAGTGGCCAAACTCGACTGAGGTCTCTCCAACACCTGGCAGATGCCTGGTCTGTACCAAGCAGACTCCCAAAGAAGCCATGTTAGACCACGGAGAGAAAGACACGGGAAGACCAGAGTGCTCGCTGAAGTCGTGTGACACACACATCCCAGAAAAGCAGACGTGACTTCTGGGTTATCCTGGCCCTGCCACCTACCCAGAGATGGGTGGGAATCCATATTCTTCGTTTGAGCTTTGCACATCTCTACAGGAAAATCCTGCTGTGTCTGTGGTTTAGGGTTACAAGAAGGTTCCCTGGCCCCTCCTAACGGTGCTTTTGAAAATCTCATACGGTCCGAGGGTTTCCAGGAGGCTGCGGCCCTAGCTCCCTCAGTGGCTCCTGGTGACGTGGTCCGTCTGGTGGACTCTGGGCACCCACGGCTCCTCGTGGCTGTGGCCTTCCACCTGACCTTCACTGGGCTCCCAGAGGCCACATCACCCTTCACCCCCACTGGCACTTTACAGGCATAACAGTAATCCAGTGGCATCTGGCTTGTCAGGTCCTAAGGAAGCTTGAGAAGTCACTTGGTCACTCTCTGTCCTGGGGAACCTTCTAGAGACACATTATGGGTCCTAGCTGAGGTACTCACAGAGCCAACAGCAAGCCCCATGCTTTGAGGAAGGGGCCACCAGTCTCCAGCTCAGCAGACACACCATAAAGCCACCCTCCCCTGCATCCTTGTTGGATCGATCAGGGTGACAAGACATGGAAGAGTGGGCCAGGACAGCCAGAGACTGCAGGCACCCTCCTGGGGACCATTCCTGAGAGACGGAAGGAGTGCAGGGAGCGCCGTCAGAGCCCCAGGCTGACCCGTGAGAGGAGTCGGAGGAGTGAGGACCGTGGTGCAGCCCACGGTGTTGAGCAACTGCTTTGGAGGAGACCCGCGTGGGCAGGGACGACCTGGCAGCGGAGAGTGGGGCTGGCCTCAGGACCACTGCAGAGGCACAAAGGCCAGCAGGCCGTCCATCCACCATGCCCCCACTGAACGTGCTCCTCAAGGCTCTCAGGACAGCCCCTGCTGATCACCAGAGGGAACAAGTCATGGCTCTCAGGACAGCCCCTGCTGATCACCAGAGGGAACAAGTCATGGCTCTCAGGACAGCCCCTGCTGATCACCAGAGGGAACAAGTCAAGGCTCTCAGGACAGCCCCTGCTTTTCACCAGAGGGAACAAGTCAAGGCTCTCAGGACAGCCCCTGCTTTTCACCAGAGGGAACAAGTCAAGGCTCTCAGGACAGCCCCTGCTTTTCACCAGAGGGAACAAGTCAAGGCTCTCAGGACAGCCCCTGCTGATCACCAGAGGGAACAAGTCAAGGCTCTCAGGACAGCCCCTGCTGATCACCAGAGGGAACAAGTCAAGGCTCTCAGGACAGCCCCTGCTTTTCACCAGAGGGAACAAGTCAAGGCTCTCAGGACAGCCCCTGCTTTTCACCAGAGGGAACAAGTCAAGGCTCTCAGGACAGCCCCTGCTGATCACCAGAGGGAACAAGTCATGGCTCTCAGGACAGCCCCTGCTGATCACCAGAGGGAACAAGTCATGGCTCTCAGGACAGCCCCTGCTGATCACCAGAGGGAACAAGTCATGGCTCTCAGGACAGCCCCTGCTGATCACCAGAGGGAACAAGTCATGGCTCTCGCTCGGTGGTGGCTCTGGGCCTGCCTCTCCTTCCTGGGCTGTCCATCCGAGCTTTCTCGCCTCCCTGAGAATCTCACCTTACTCTGTGCTGAGAGCCACGGCCGAGTCTGTATGGCCCCTGGCATTTTGCCAACAGTATTGATTGACAGGCGAGGCATTACTATCCGCCTCTGCTGCAACTTTTGAGTTCTCGCACTATTTTGGAGTTCTCATGGGGATTTCCGGGGATTCCCCGAGAGTTCCCATTGGTTGGGGAAGTGCAGGAGGAGGGATTTCCGGGAGAGATATTTCCGGCTGGGGGTTCCTAGACAAGCCTCCTGGCGCGTTAGGGAGGATTCCCCGGGAGCTGTGTGAAGTGTTTTCCTGCAGTTTAAAAATAAAGTTTGTTCCTGCTTCAATGGCTCCTGATTTGTGCCCAGCCAGACTGCTGCATTTGGTGGCCCGTACGGGGAACGAACCCGCGACCTTGGCGTTATCCCCGGAAATCCCCATGAGAACTCCAAAATAGTGCGAGAACTCAAAAGTTGCGGCAGAGGCGGATAGTAATGCCTCGCCTGTCAATCAATACTGTTGGCAAAATGCCAGGGGCCATACAGACTCGGCCGTGGCTCGCAGCAATTCTGCTCCACTGCAGAGTTGGTTCTGACCCTCACTGGAGCAGCAGAGGCTGGTCACGGGCCTCTCTGTCCCTCCTCAAGAACAGCTCCTCTGCGGAGCCCAGAGGACTTGCTCACAGCAGGTGCTCTCTGCCAGGGTTTCCCAGGTAATGCTCTGAGCCAGAGCACTCCTGCATCTCCATGGCTCCCTGACCTGACATGGGCCACACCTGCATCACAGGGGGTGATGTGGGCCACACCTGCATCACAGGGGGTGATGTGGGCCACACCTGCATCACAGGGGGTGATGTGGGCCACACCTGCATCACAGGGGGTGATGTGGGCCACACCTGCATTATGGGTGGTAACATGGGCCACACCTGCATCACAGGGGTAACATGGGCCACACCTGCCTCACAGGGGGTAACATGGGCCACACCTGCATCCTAAGGTTACAAGGAAGGGCCCAACATGGTCTGGCACTTGCAAAAGCATTGCTTCAAGGCCTAGCACCAATGTTACTTCCTTTAAGGCTTTTGCATCCCAAACAGAATGACTGCCCCTTCCATGGGCTATCACTCAGCTGGGGGGTGGGTCACCCTCCCAGGCCTGCCACCTGCCCAGCACCCACTTGTCTTTGCCTCATGCTTCTCCCACTCTGGCTGCCAGTGGAGGTGTGGGTCCCATCGGCAGTGATGACAGCAGAGCTACTGTTGGAGGAGGTGGTCCTGCGTCCACGTCACGGGGCCCCTGCTCACACGCCAGGCTCCCCAGCATGGTGGGGAGGGGGTGAGGAATCGGATCTCAGTCCCACATTCTAAGAGTTCCTTCCAGTGGACGACCACTCTGCGCCTCTTCAACTCACTTTCCACTCCAACAGCATGGCTCACATGACCCCGGACCTGAGTCAGTGGAACCAGGACTCCACTCAATTCTACACCCTTCTGGTACATTCTTTTTTCCCCACAGTGAGAGCAGAGGGGCAGAACTAGCAAGTTATGTCCACTTTGAAGGCAATGGTCCCCAGGCTGGTGGATTATCTGAGCACTGTGAATACTCTAGATTTTTAGAAACAAAGTTTCAAGTTCCCCAGCACCAGCTAATCCTAACTAAAAAAGTAACCACAGAAGGTAACAATTCCGCTTGTAAAATCATTTTATTGGTATAAATATACATATGAATAAAATACTTTCAGCCTGTAATGCAAGTGAATATTTGTGAAATGTCTTATAAAAGAGTAGTATTCTGATTTGTTTTTACAGGTGTCAAAGTATTCTCTCTTAAAACCACACATTAAAACCTAAAATGCAGCAGAAATTAAAGGCCTTCCAAAACATGAATATTCATAAAACTTCATTCCAATCAAATATGTACATTGATCTGGGCACATGGAAGAATCCACATGGACCAAGCTCACTCTGTTCTCAGCTGTGCTTGTTGATGGCACCCGAAGGCCACCAACTAACCTTTAAATGTACAATTCCACTTCAGGAAGGAAGAAGTTCCCCATGGGAGAATGTAAAAACCATACCAAGATCTAATAAATATAATTTATACAAATTATTTATTAGTGTGCTCTGTTAATATAATTACAATGTGCAATGCTTACATCAAGAATAAACCGCTCTATCCAGTCATGTGCAGATCTGACAGGCACGGTCGGCAGTGCCCTCGGTCTCCTGGTGGAGCACCTGTGCGTGTGTGTCCAGCTACGCCTTTGACCTCCAAAGACTCATCTTGCAGGGCAATTTGTAGCTGCCTCAGAGAAGTTCAAGGAGGGCCCACGGAATAACTGCTGGCCTTTGCTGAAAGCTTGTGAAGCAAGGTTTAGAATCCAGTGCGAAGGGCGGGAAGACCAGAAGTGTGCTTTGAGACCAGGAATGGATCTGTTGTTATGCTCCGAAAGGAGGAAGAAGAAAGAAGAGAGCACCAAGAGTAGAGGAGGCGCCCTCCTCTCTGAGGGCCACACGCACCTGCACAGTGACACTCTGCCCGGGGACCTTCACACAAAAATAAACTCTTTCTCGGCCTCCTCTCCCGAGTCACTTGACTTGCTGCCCTGGGGGCCGTCTTTACTGGAGGGCCGCTGCTGCTTCTGCTCCTGATACTCCTGGGCCTGCTGGCCCCAGCTTCTCCTAGAAACTGGAATTGAAAGGCAAGGAAGCGGAACAGTTAGTACCTGCAGCAGTAGGGGCTGGCCGCAGTGGGGTGACGGCAGGGGCCTTGAGTGTGCCTGCAGGGCAGTGGGCTGGGGCCAACTTCCTTACAGCAAAGTTGCTCTTATGCTTAGAGACTCCGGGTGGATTCCAAACAGAGGAACAGACCCAGAAACACTCACGCCACAGAGGCATGCAAGACCATGCCTGTGACAGGGTGGCCCTCTCACAGATGTGGTGGAGAACCCAAGGTGACCACACCAAGGTGAAGGAGAAGGGGAAGCCACAACCCACTGAGGCTGGGCACCAGGTGGCACCTCAGTCGCAGCGGCAGCAGCAGAGAGGGTACCGGCTGGACAGGTGTCCACTGGGCACTTTCTGCAGGTGGTTTAGGGTTGGCTGATCCGGCTCAAGGACAGGATATCAGGAAAGGCCTCAGGAATCTCTTTCAGACCTTTATGGGTCTCAGAAAACCTCAGCTTCACTCTCTAGGAAATGAACTCTTTTTATTCTGACAATTCTGTGAAAACGCATCCAACACTGCTGATCAGCCAGCGCTCCAGGTGAGAGCGTCATGGCCTTTGTGGACTATTCCAATCACAGGTAATGCCGGGCTGGGGCTTCACAGTCAGCCATGGGAGCGCCGTCAGCGGCACTGAGTTCCTGCTGTGCCGGGAGCTCTCTGCTCGACGCTGCTGCTCGGTGACCCTGTAAGGCAGGGTTCTGTAGACCTCAGGACCAGGATCGGGGCCCAGGCTGCTACTCGCAAGTCCATGTGCTTTCCAACTGATCATGGCTTCTTGTCAACTGTAGCCCAGGAAAGACTCTGCTGCTGTGCTCCCCATGGCTCTCAGGGGTTGACAGATGCTAGTCACCATGTCCCCTGTGCAGACACCGTGGAGCTGACCTACCAAACCTACACCCTTTGTGAAGCAAGTAGAAGGAAGAGCACAGTCACCTCATTACTCAGAAGATTAAATACTCCAGACAGGAACACAGCACTTCTATCAGGAAGAGCCACAGAACTCATGATGCTTCTGATCACTTTGTTTTTGCTAAAGAATTCCTCTTTCCAGGAGCTCTCTATTTAAATATTTAACTCATTGAACTGAGTTTCAGGAAGTGAAAACTCACTAAACCTAAGGGTCAAAATACAAACATATTATCGCACTTGCCAACAGGATCGACAGGGCCAGGTTCTGGTCTCTGGATAATAATTGGAATGAAAATTCAAATTTTCATTTAATGATATTAAACTGAAATTAAAAGAAAGAAAAAAAAATAAATTGAAATCATCCAAAATTCTGGAAAGAAAAAAATCTTTTCAAATCTTAGTTAAAATAAAAAATAATTTTGATTCCTTTTTGCCCCACAGCTTTTGACAAAAACCTCAGATGGGGAAGAATACAATGAACAAATATTATCATTGTTCTTCATTTTAAGTTTGTGCTGGGAGAAAAAAATTAAATGTCCTTGTGTGATTGGTCTTTTGAAAGTTGTTGTTAAGCTACACTCACAAAAAGAAGATTACTATATGGTCTGCAGATATTTTGTGCTTTGTCACAAAACCAATCTGACTCTCGTTCGGATCCTGCAGGTTCTCAGCCCCAGTGATGCCAAGACTGGGGAGCAGGGAAGTCGTGCACCCCACAGCCTGAGAGGCTTGGCAAGCCCTTCAACTTCAAAGCAGAGCACCACTTGTGAAACTTGCTAGAAATCGGTTTCACTGTATTTTAAACCAATAAACCATTTGACATAGTCATCGTCCTACGTCAAACGACTCAACCAACTTCCAACACCACAGCCTCAAGGGAAGAAATAAATATGGTGATCTGCTTCAGAGCAAACTTTTTCTCTAATCCTTCTATTAAAACAATAATCAAACTTTTCATCAATATTTTGGCTCCCCAGAAATCTGAGGTCCAATTCACGTATGTGAGATGACTCGGGAGCAGGGAAACTCATGTAACCAACGATGCTTATTTCATAGATTAGAAACCGAACTAGGCCCCTGGGCCAGGTCACTATGGCAACAGGCTGGGATTCAGAGAGGTGCAGCACAGGAGTGGCCCACAGAGTTCAGGTCACTGACCCTGTCCTGCAGGGCGGGGACAGCGGAACAGCAGGTGGAGTAGGAGGAAAGGTAAAGGTCGCCCAGTTCACACTTGTGAGTGATGCAGAGCCAGTGCCAGTCACAAGGACAGAACTGCACTTTCTCTAACACAGTTACCAAGAGGAAAAAACAGCACATTATTACAAAGAGGCTGCTCAAGCATTTACTGTGGGGTGACATGGTGAAAATTCACTCAGGGGCTGGTGGGCAGCTCAGGGGAAGGCACTGCCTTGCATACGCCAGGTTCTGGGTTCCAGCATCAGAGCGAGAAAAAAATCCTCATTCTTCTTTGATTAAATTCAATCAATTGTGAATGCATGTGATAGTGAGCCCAAGACCAGGCTGGCATGTCCTTAGCGTTGTAGGTGGGCACCACTCAGAAAAACTGAAATGAGGAGGCCAAAGACCTAGTCACACAGCTAATGCACTGGGATCCCGCCTCCAGCCTGATTCATGCAGGAACATATCTCCTTGTGTAGGAGATATGTTCCTGTCGAGTGTGTTTTCCAGCCCCTAGGGAGCATCTATGTGACTGCATATAATTAAGAGGCTAATTACAATTCTATGGAAGTCAGTTTGGTCAGGCTTCCATTAAAGGCAGGTCTAAGTAGAATAATGTCTGCTTGAAACTTAAAACTTCAGAATTTATTTTAAAAACATTTATAGAATTTACACTTTTTACTAATTCAGACAGACCTCCTCCTAGGCAGCTTGATTTTAGAGGTTAAAAAAAATCAGATTGCTTTGGAACACTTCTTCAATGCAAGCACTTGTGTGGTTAATGCCAGAGTGTTTCTGTACATGTGTTTGTATCTGTGTTAATTACTATTCCACGCACTATTAGTTGATAAAGGACACTCAAGTAAATGAACAGATAATTTATTCAACGAGAACACCTGCGTGCATATTCACATCCTGTTTATGGGGCAATAACTGTGTGGAGAGGCTCAAAGATGAAGTCTGCCATTTTTGAAGATGATCCGACTTTGCATATGTATATATGCAAATATATACATGCTGATTTTAAACCTCCTGAAATATGCACATAAACTGAGAACCAGAGATTCCTATGAAAATTTTTCTCCACTGTAAGCTCCACTAATATCCATATTTTCCAGAAGGAAAACATTCTGATGACCTTAAAATAATTCTCAGTAGTTGGCACTGATTTTTTATTCTCTCTAGCAACAGCCAAAAATGCCAACCAACTGCTAAATCTCTCTTGAAGAATTCCTACAGGGGACATGAAACCTGGATCTGGGGATAAAATGTAGAAGAGAGAACTGGCTTATGGACTCTAGGACAGACCTAAGGTTGGATCACAGAAGAAGCAAGTGGTAGTCAGAAGGAGTCCTGCAACCGGCTGCGGAGCCAGAAGGCTCCATGGTAACACATAAAGCCAGGCCCAGTGCAGCACGTGGCAGAGCCCACCCAACAGGCATGAGGCCCTGGGTTCCAGCACCACTGGAAACCAAAACCAAAACCAAAACCACACACACACAAAGCCAAACAAAAGCAACCGTTTTCTTCAAGAAAATAGAACATGTGATAATGAAGATATCATAGCTTATAATTAGATGGCAGAGAGAAAATGATATGGAATTCAAAAGATGCAGTTACAAATATTTCCAGTAAAAGAGATAAAGCATTTTATCTGTCAAACCAATAGTAAAATAGCCACGTAATTAAAACTCAGCAGTCATGATAAAAATATGCAGCATGCTTTGAGAATAATTGTTTCACAAAAGCATGATTTAGGAAATTAAGAAAGCTGTTTTAGTGTAAACAAAGATGTTCTTAAAAGACTTAAAAGAAATTAAACACCAAGGTTTCATTCACTGCTCTGATAAATGCTAGTTTTGGGCCAGGATCTATTCAGAAAGCAGACGGCTATGTGAAGACAGTCAAGGCTACACACCAACACAACAAAATCAACGTATCAGACACAGAATGACTTCAGCTGAAGCTCCTGCAAGAATTACTTTTTGGTGTTTTTTCAAGAAATTAGGGCAGAAGAACTAACATAAGATGGTCCGATTTGATTCCATCAGAATTTGATGCAGCCCATCACGGGGGACCCGAAGCCAGTGAGGTCAGGGAAAGCCTGAGGCAGCAGCAGAACCCCCCTGCCCTCCTGGGACTGGGCCTTCCTGGGTGGCCCTGTTGTCGCCTTCACTCGAGGCCTAGAGGATTTAGTGGGGTGGTCCCTCTGGGTGGAATGAGTGGTCCTTGAAGGAGGACCACCGCACCAAAGGTGAGTCTTAGTAAGTGATAGAGTCAGCAGATACAACAGCTCCAAGGTAACCTTCAGGATCTGGAGACATCTCCGTGACCTCATGTGTCCTTACCGTAAGGGGCAATACAGAGACAGAGACTTTGACGATACATGCTCAAAAGTAACCAGTGCTCTTCAGGAGATAAATGCCTTAGGTGTGACTCGTGTAGCTTCTGTGACTGAAGTTAGCAGAGACCTTCTTGGCAATAGCAGGGATTCACTGTGAAAAGGAGAGTTCTTCTAACTGTGTCTGCAGGCCAGTCCGCTCAGGAAGTCCTCTGACAGCACAGGGCCGGGCCAAGGCCGCCAGCATGGAGCCCTCGCTCTGCGAGCGAACACCACGAAAACAACACAAGAGGGTGAGGCCACTGCGACCTGGCCCAGACAGGATGCCCTGTGCTTGCGGGACCTGCTGTCTTGCTGGCGCTGTGGTGGGGTCCTTACCGCCACCCGGCAGCTGGCCGGGGTGCGTCAGAACCCCAGCCGGGAGAGCACCTGCTGAGAAGCAGGCTTCCAACCCTGTGGTGCTGAGGAGGCACGAGCCACCATCCTGCTCTTAAATCTGCGTCAAGCAGAGTTCTCCAAGCCACAGTGCCCACTGCAGGCATCGGGACTCGCGGGGCTGTGAAGCGCAGGTGCCACAGGAAGTCGACTGTGCGATGGAGGGCTCGGGTAGGAGCACGATTTACCTTTCTGCAAACACACTCATCCTGTCGTAAGGTCACTGCCACTACCTTATGTTCTGAAAGCTCTGCCAGGAGGGGGGCAAAGGGCACGGAGCTGCACTAGCTGCTGGCCACACACCTGCCCCCGGAGCAGGGACACAGCCTGCCAACCCTGACCCTGTGGACAGGAAGACCACGCCTCACTCCAGGGCACAGGTCCTTGACGGCATCTCCCTGTTCCTCCCTGTTCAGAATGTCTCTGTGTTCTTCTCATATGATGTCAACGTTTCCTCTACACAATACTTCGAGTCGTGTTTATAAAAGTTGTTAACCAGGGAGACGAGCAGCAGTTCAACCATAATGGATGACTCCTCCCAGGGTCAGCAGCGTGTGCTCTAGAACCTTCCCGCTGGAGGGTGGGGCTAAGGCCGAACTGAGACTGGCCTCCCTTTTGTCTCGGGGCCTGTTCTCACCTGAACAGACGGGACGTACTTTGCTACAGGGCCAAATGGAAGACACAGGTCTTAGGAGCAAGTGCTGGAAAAGAGATCAACTGCTCCTGAGTGTTGGACTACCAGGTGTTTTTCTTTCATGGTGAATCATAAAATGTCCATGTGACCGGGGTCTGCACCCAGGGCTTCCTATTGATCTTTCCTTTAATAGTCAAGGGCTTGGGCCAGCATCCTCCAAGGGGAAGACTAGTCCTCTCAGAGTCCCTGCCCATGCCCACTCGGAACTTAACAGAAAGGTAAAAAGGAAGAGCCCCCAAATATAAAAATAAACCTGTTCGCTCACAAAAATTCGAATGGCCAAGTCCCCGGGGTAACTTGACCCTCTCATAAGGTTCTCTAGCTTTGGATTGCCGGGTCAGTACTTTATCGTCCCAAATACAAGGACCATCCTGCTGCCATTAGAATAAGGAAAGGCTGAGAGCCCCGAGCCGTGCCAAGCTGAGCCACCCGAGTGAAGCGTGTGCTTTTTAGTGCCAGTTAACCCCGGGGTGGGTGGCGCAGCCGAAGGCTCTGGCCAGGTGCTGCTGTGGCCCATGTCCAGCTGCACTCATGTCCTCTTCTTCAGGGCCCAGTGCAGTTTTGAGGTCCTTTCCCTCTACTGTCATGACCTGAATGCACTACTCCTCAGGAAAAGGGTTCCTTTACCCTTCAGTAGCAAGTACACCAATGTGGACCCCACAATGAGAAGTGAAATCACCCACCCGACTTAGGACTCAGGGAGCTCACAGTTGGTTCTGGCAGAGACCCCACCAACTGTGGAATTCAAAGCCAACGCGATGGAAATGGCGAACAAATGAGGTGAGCTCTGCGTCTGCCCGAGAGTCCTACAGAAAAGCCCCAGCACGACCAGTGTGATTACACGATGGACCGATGAAAATCATGCTCACTGTGGAATGATCCGGAAGAGTCACAGAAGTTACCTGTTTAGAAGTTGGCTGGGCAGGCTAGTCCACAGGGAGGCAGGGGACAAAGAAAGGAAATACCAGTGTGAACGAGGAGCAGGAAACGGGAGCGGGCACAGGCAGTGCCGAGGGCAGCAGCTCAGGTGTGCCCCCCACCTGGGCAGAGAGCTAGCACAGCTGGAGTGGAATCCCACCCGACCTCGCATATTGGTTTAGTCTGGATCCCACGTGGAGAGCAGCCCAACAAGCCACTGGGAAGAGGGCAGGAGCCACCCCACCGACTGCGAGAGGAGAGGAGGGGCCCCCGGACGTCACCAGAACCATAGGCTCCGCAGCCTGCGTCCCTCCTGGCAGCCTGCCAAGCCATCCATGTGCCCCTGCTACTAGACGGCTCCGAGCTTGTTCCCACCCAAGGCTGGTGGGTGCTCCAGGCTTTGTTTTGATGATCCACAGGCAGTCAAAATGTTTGGTAGAAAACACCATACTTGGGCTGGGATTGTGGCTCAGCAGTAGAGCGCTTGCTTAGCACATGCGAGGCTCTGGGTTCGATTCTCAACACCACATAAAAATAAATAAAATAAAGGTGTTGTGTTCAACTACAACTAAAATATTTTTTTAAAATACCATACTCCAAAACTGTTAACAGCGAGTTTTTACTCAACCTTCTGACTTTTGTGGGGGCAGGTAGGGGTTGAATCCTTCAGTGTCTCAAAGGCTTTTAACAGGATGAACATTCCCAGTTATGGTACCTATGCCTTCCCCACCCCCAGTTTCTCCCCAGTAAAACTCTCAGGTTTTGTCAAAGCTTCCTTAAAAACAGATACGCAGTCAGCAGTTACAGAAAGAGGGACAATGAGGGCAGGAGTTGGGGGCTGTGTGGCAAGAATGGGCTGCTGGGGACACCTGCTGCCCAGGCACCTGCACCAGCTCGGCACGGTTCTTCCTTGTAGCGAGTCTCCCACGGGCTTCGGCTGTAATGGGACTGTTCGCTCCTCGCGGAGACTAGGGGAATGGCCACTCGCGTGGCTTTAGTTTCTCTATTTCACAAAAGTGGTGCTTAACAGCTTCAGTCAAAACCCTTTCTTCTTTTATTGACAGCCAATAGGTGAGAGAGACTTCTGCCCACCAAATAAATATGCAGAATGAAGTGGAGAAAGGGGGTCATTTTTGTAAGGGGACCAAAGACCCTAAGTCAGGACTTAGCAACACCTTCTGTCAACCTCAACCCGACAGGCTGAGGCAGGTACAGGGCCAGAGCGGGCACGGAACACGTGTGAAATAAAGAGCCGCTCCAGCCACATGGAGAACCTGCAGGTGGCTCAGGATGTGTCTGTAGGTGGTGGTGGGGCCGAGGGACAGCATTTAAATGACGCCTTCCATGGACAGAACAAAGCCATCTGTGCGTTTGGAGGTTGGGGGAGGTGGGAGAGGTGTGGTGCAGGTGCCATGGAGACCCCAACCACACCATCCCCTGACAACTGACCCGGTGGGATCTGGGGAGCAAGGAGGCACGGTGGCTAGCATCTCCCAGGCCAGGGGGGCACTGCAGAGCAGCGGCTGCACACGACAGCTAGAGGCCGCTCTCCTTGGAATAACAGGGACTAGGAATCTACAGGTAGCACGATCAGGTTCCAGAATCGTACCTGCTGGGAACCATGGAGGAGCATCTCAGGGGACACCTGCAGGACCTGTGGCCTCTGGGAAGCTTGAGTTCCTGAACGAAGGAGCTGCTCTGCTTCCAAAGACCTAACGCTGACCTGAGCCCCAAGACACCGGCTGAGTCCAGGATTAATTCCTTGAACTGCCCTCCTTGGACAGAGAAACCCAGAGAGAGAAAGTTCTCACCTTCCTGGGAAAACACGCGGGGGCTGGGCTGGGGGCTGTTCTGGCCGTCTCTGTCCTTGTCCATGGGCACTTTCTTCAAGGCAGGAGGAAGAAGGGCGACTTTAGGGGAACTGGGACCAGATGGAGAGTCTGGGGCATCCTCTGTGGAGACACGAACACAGGAATCAAGCCATTCCACACCCGGAAAACACACACACACACCTCACCAGGTAAACCTTTCAATACAGATGACTCATAAGAACAGAAAAGCATCCTAGAATTTTTCTGGCCAAAAACTACTTTTGTGTTTCTGCTCAGTGAACATGCACAAGTAATAAAAAAAAACAATAACGAACACTGGAAAAGGTGGGAATCTTCACAGATGTGGTTTTCCCTGCAGGTTTGACACTTCAATAGCTGAAATCTGAAGGTGGACTATGAGCCACACGTCCTTCTGCCTTAAACACAAAGCTGTCTGTTTTAAGATGTGACTTTACACATTTCACAGTGCAGCAGCCACAACACAGATGCACACACATGTGCAAGCACCTACAAGCACATACTGAGGTCCCTAGGGATAATCTGGACTCATGGATTTTGACAACTGTGAAGGGTTTTGATCACTGGACAAATGGAGAGTAAATGCTAAGCTAAAAAGACGGCCAAAGAGCTGGGACTAGAATCCTCATCTCAATCCCCCAGCCAGCGCTGCTTTCGGGACTGACTGACCAGGCTCCTTTTGTGGCTGGGAGAGCAGTGCACTCAAGTGCAGGACGACCCACAGCCGCTTCTCCTTGGCTTCCACCTCTAACCCAAGTTCCCTAATTTCACCATGGACACGGAGACCCCGACGTCCCCTAAGAACCGTGGGGAAAGGAGTGACACGGGGCAGGGGAAGTGCCCACTGGCTTCCCAGGCTCTATAAAAGCGTTAGCTTGTTAACACGATTCTTGGCATACTAGTACTAGGGAAGCAATGAACACGTCCAGCATAAGCTGAAAATCAAAAGTTCTTGCAACAGAATATTAGGAATCCAGCTGATCTGATATTCAGCATTTGCAAATGGGGAGCCAAAATGCTCTGAACCAGGGCAGATTCCTCTTTACAAAGGCTGGTTCCTCACTAGAGGCCCAGCAGCTGGTAAAGATGTCAGAATCAGACCTCCTTTTTGAGGTTTTGCTTTCCTTTCCCTTTTTTCTTTTTGTCTCTGGGGATTGGACTCAGAGGTACTTGACCACTGAGCCACGTCTCCAGCCTGTTTTTATTTTTGCTTTGAGACACTCGCTAAGTTGCTTAGGACCTCATTAAGCTGCTGAGGCTGGAAGCAACATAAAATCTTCGGCCCCCAGCCCCCTGAGTCACTGGGATTACGTGTGTGCACCACCACACCCTGAAAGATCTTGCTTTTTGTTAAAAAAATTTTAAACTGTTTGCTTTGCCTCCATTTTCCCCATTCCCTTTATAAGGATATTTTCCGTATTAAAAATTGCGTTCCCCACTCATAAAGACTTCTTTGTGAAAAAGTCTGAGTACAATTTGTTCGTCCTAAGTGATTTGCGGCAGGGGTCAGTTCCTTGAGGGAGCCTGGTGTACCCTTTCTTTGTGGCTTTATGCAGACTGTTCAATGGGTTTTTCAAGGGACCAAAGGACTGTGAAGACTGCAGAATGTTCACCAGGGCTGCCGGGGGGACAAGGTGAGCATGAGAAGAAACGAGAAAGACCCCCGAGTGGGACAGTTTAGACACATGGGACCCTGCTTCTCCCGATCCACACGAGTCACCCACACATTGAAGAATAGATGACCAGGATGAGCTGCGCCTCTGGTGTCACAGTGTGCGTGCCCACGAGGGGGCCAGAAGGCTGTCTGCTGCTACGGGTGGTGGGGTCACCACATCTGGCTATTGCTCGCCCGTGTGGCTTGGCAAACTCACTATCTCATCTGTGAAAGGGGGTGGGATGTGGATATTGGGGGTGGGTCCACACAAGGTACGTGGAACAGAGCCTGGCCCAGCGGTACCCGCTCAGTGCTGACCAGCCATAGACCTGACCATGGATGTACTCCGTTTGCCTAACTGTGAGAGACATTAAGAGGTGAGTCGAGACGGCGTTCACAATACCACCCTTTCAACTTCGTATGTGTGAATTCTCACAGAATTTTAAGAGACCTGACGCAGACATTCTTGTCAATGCAGACAGCCTGGAGAGCTGTCGGGCCATGGCGTGACCCCAGCTAAACCCTGTCCTTACCGGGCCGGGAGGCGGTTCTTGGTTTCTGCGGGATGCTGGGCCGTGCTGCCAGGGAGGGCTTGGGGGACTGCAGGAGGGGCTTGGGGCTGGTGGGGTTGCTGGACGAACTCCGAGACCTGGAGCCCACCTCCACTTTGGGCTCTGCTTTGGTGCTCCTTTCTGGTGTTCCCAGACCAAAGCGGTTTTCTGGGAGACCTGGGGGCAGTTTAGGCACTAAAATGAAGCAGCAGAAAAAGCCTGTGTTACAGATCAAAGCTGAAATACCTACATCCTGGAGGCAGAAGTCAGTGGCAATCAATCACTGCCATTTCTCATCAGATATTTCAGAACAAAACTCACTGGTGAAAGACTAATATTCTCCATAGGAAAGCAGTGGGCTCAAGGGGCTTTCCTGACCAGACCCGCCCGTCGCAGAGGTGGCAAGGGGGACCCAGTGCACAGCTCCACAGCAGCCAAGGGCAGCACGGAGCTCAATGCATCCGAGGCCTCCAGGTCTCTGAGACCTGGCGCCAACTGTAGGCGCCTATCTTCCAGAAAACAGCCAGGCTGTGCCCGCAGGGCTGGAGTGGAGAGGGCCACGCTGACGCCACAGCAGGTCCAGAGCGCCACCCCTACCTTGGCCTCCATTCACACCGCTGCCATCACTTAACAACTGGCCAAGCCAAGCCAGCTGAGGGTGACTGACAGACCCGCTCTCGTGGCGTGAGGACACAACAGCAAGGACACCCAGTGGCCCCACCAGAATTCCAGCATGCAATTCACAACCCCTCGCCAGGCTCCGGCTCCAGAATCTTGCCCTCTACTGACCTAACGGGTCAGAGGAACAAAGGGCACAGGCTGTGTGTATGGCAAGCCACTGGACCACCACCTCCTCTCAAGTGGACACCGCCTTCCCGTGCCACATGTGGCGTGTATTTAAAAACATGTGCTGTCCCCATGCTCCCAGTCCCTTTCATGAAAATGCCCACAATAGGAGTTCTCAGTGAACACAGTGTTTGGAATTTCTGCCCTGAGAAACGAGAAGAGGCGAGTGTCAGGCACCAGGCTGTAGGAAGTGTCACCCAGCTCAGTGGCGGGTGGCCTGTCACCTGCAGACAGCTGGCGCTGACAAGCAAGGCACCTGTGCTTCAGGGGGAGCTGGGAGCATCCAGCACAGGCAGCCACTGCTTCCCACCCTCCTCTTCTGTCAGTCACAGGGGAAGCAGAGGTAAGGGACTTTCCTAGGAGTGATGGCGGTGGCCTTGCTTACCTGCCCCTCCTCCATCCAACCGCTCTATGCTGCTCAAGGCCGGGCTGCCGGAGGAGTCCTGGGAGACGGCCTCGTTGCCAAGCTTCTACAAAATTCAAGCAACACCCCCAAACAGTGCATGTTTATTTGATGTGTAAATAAAAACAACAGATGATAAATGACAACACAAGATAGCTAGGGACTCTGCCACGGTTACAGTGCTCGTCTGACCATCCGTCCTGAGGTCCTCTTGCTGGGAAGCTGGGAGAAGCACCTCTGCCCAGTGCTTACTGTCCCTGCTCTGTGTCCATGTGTGGGAGTTCCCAGGAGGCTCCCACAGGACAGAGTGCAGGGGCCGGGAGGTGGCTGAGTGGGTGACACTTCCTACAGTCCCTGGAACACCTGTGCCAGCTCACAGCCCTGATGCTCTGTGCGAGGAACACTTACACTCTAATTTCCAGGGCTCTACAGATTTGGATTCTAAAACATCTAGTTTTAAAATCAGTGGAGACCTATGACAACATAGGTGTCCAGGGGGCCTACAATGGGCAAAGTCCTCCTTGTCACCGAGGCAGAACCCCAGATGTGGATCTCATCAGGAGGGAAATACTGGTGGACAGGCCTCGATTCTTTTCTGTTTTTGTTTCTTTAAATTTTCAGTGCTGGGATGGAACCTAGGGCCTCCACATGCTAGACGAGCATTCTACCATGGACTAACATCCCAGACCCTCAACTTTTAGAAGACCTGCACGGGGAGGAGGCTGTGAGGCCAGGAGGGGGCAGGATCACTGCCACTGTCTTAGGGCTGGAGGTAACCCTAACGGAACGGAATCAGCTTCTGCCCTTGCAGAGCAGAAGTCTGCAGTGGTGCCAGGGGCGCACACACGAAAGACATATGAAAAGAACGAGTCCAGCGCCTGACTCTCCCTAGCCAAGAATCCTGCCGGCAGAGCCTGGCTACGGCTGCCTCTCACCTAACAGACCAACCGCGGAGGCAGGGTGACCTGCCCACCGCTGCTCACTCGTCCTCTGCACAGACCTAGGAATCCAGTCTGCGGCCCTTTCCTGGCTTCACACTGGACTTGATGATGCAGATCGTATGAAACACACTGAGGTCTGACTCTCACTGTGCCTGCTAGTCTGTCCCCACACACACCCGGGGGGCTTTGGTTCTGGGGAGGAAGAGCAAGGATTCGCGGCATCTCTCAGCAAGACCACGGAAGTACTTTCTCTAGTGGAGGGTGCTGAGCAGGCCTTGGAGGAGAAACTGGCAGCCCTGGGGGCCTGCCACTTGACATCCCCATGGAAGAGTGACCCGAGGGATAGAAAGCCCAGCCACCCTTTGTGCCCCGCTTGAGCATCTGCAAGGCCTGGCCAGACACTAAGCATGAAATCCCAACAGGGACCTGTCCTTTTGGGCTTTTGCAAGGGAGTGTGGACCTCCTTATATTTTGTACCCTGGGAACCTCTCTGGTCTGCATCTCAAGAACAATTCTGAGAGTAGCTTCATTGTCTGCCCTCACAGGTTTCCTGCAGTAGATGTGAACCCCAAGACTGACTGCAAGATAAGGATCAAATGGGGTCCTGCCAATCATCACAGCTCTTTCTTAAACACGTGTTAAATGTCAACAGTGTGCAGAGGAGGCTGAGGACTCTGCCTCACCAAAGGCACACTGACCACAGAGGCGCCCACCACCTTCAGAAAAATCAGAGTGGAATTTTAGGGAAAAATATTCTAAGATAACTTTTGAAAAATTTTATTATTCTGATGGAATACCCCCTAAATATTAAGGATTTCAATGATGGTGGTTGTTTAAATCGACACCAGATGGCGCTCAGGGAACACTGGTATAAGGCTCAATTGGACACAATCAACACTCGACCTTAAGGATGTTGTCACTTTGAGTCAATTTACGTATCAATCCAAAGCATGTGGGGAAAAAAAAAAAAAAAAACTCTGGAATTTCTCATCTTTGTACCAGGATGTAGCTGTTCATCACTGGAAATGATAAACAGCTCATGGTGAAAACAGTCTATTTGTTGTTACAAATAAATTGATAAAAAATGGATTAAAATTTAAACATCTGGGCACCTGGCTCCCTAACGATGTGGCTGGGGCATTTCTCTGGAATTCTGAGCCGTGACAGCCACACCAAGCCTCACTTGTGAATTAGCAGAGTGCAGCTGTGCAGTCTTCCCACCCCAAAGCTGATGAGCGAGCTGGAGGGACCTGAAGTAGGGACTACAGATCAGGTGCTGGGGGTGAGGGGCTGCAAACCCCGGGAGACGCAGGGTTCAGTGGAAAACAGTCGTCTAGGAGTAATTCAAAAGGGCCCCGTACCTGGTCGGCACTTCCCCACTCTGTTTCTGCACATTGAGGCTTCGATGGTGGGCGCTGTTTTCTTCTAATACTTTGATATTAATTTTCCTTTCTTTGGTGAGCTCAGTTTTGTAAAAATAAAAGAGCTCAAGACAATGTCCAAAAACTAACCTGGAGTTGAATATGGACAGTTTCTCAACGATCACAACAAAGATGAACTCCTTTAAGTGCCAGCAGAAGAAACACAGGTAAAAGGAAAGAAAACACTCCCCGACGTTTACAAGGAGGCGGAAGGAACAGGTGATGCTCTCAGCGGCACTCAGCAGTTTCTGACCATGAAGTTCTCCTTCCCGGCAGTGGACACTAGCTGCCCATGGCAGTGGGCGTCACCTGTCCACGGCTGGGCAAACATTCCGTTAGCTTAACAAGATTCCCTGACTTTTTCCTTTGCCATTTGAATCTGGAGCAGGCAAAGTCTCTGAGTTTGGAAAGGGAGACCGCTGCGGATGCTGCCCTCACTGACCCCATCTGGTTTCAGGACTCTCGTTAGCCTCCTCCCTCTGCCCTCAGGCCTCCGTGTGCAGCTGTCTCTTGTGGGACGCGAGGGTTTCCCTGGAGCAGCCCTGCCATGCTGCTACACACGTGAGCACAGGACAAGCCTGCGTGCGGGGGACGGGCTCCTGCCTAAACCCCACACCCTGCTCTAAAAGCTGCTGTGGCTCCTGGGGAGAGCAGCCTGGGGCCCAGGGCAACGCTGCCCTCCCGTATGGCTGAGGCTCTGCGGGAACACATCTTTCAATTCTGATGTTTATTTAACTGACAGACGATTTTCCTGAGCCTCCCTCACCCACAGAAGCCGAGTGGGGACAGCCGTCCGCAGAAGGACAAGCCTGGCGCGCGGGCTGCCTCACCTTCTGTGCGCACGCGGCCCTCTTCTCCTGCTTGGCCTTCATCTCGGCCAGCAGGCCGCTGCCCATCACCTGCACGCCGTACCGCCGCCCTCCCTGGGGGCTGCTCCTGCTGTCGCTGCGCTCCGGCCGCCCCTCCGGCCGCCCCTCCTCCCCGGGACTCTCCTCGAGGGAGTCGGGCGTCTTGACTTCCTCCGGGCGCTCGGCATTGCCACTGGGCTCGGCCGCCTTGGTCTCCTTCCTGGGCGTGTCCAGGGCTGGGCTTCTGACTGCCCCTTTCGGTGAGGATGGCTCTTCTGTCATCAGAATTGTGGGTGGCCGCTCGGACTTGGACCGGGATTTGATCAGATTGAGAAAGCCGCTTCTCCGGGAATCTCGCTTCTTCTTCTCATCCCCTCCTTCCCCGAACTCGTGGGACTCGGAGCCTCTGGCGGATGATCTCCTGCATTTCAAACCGACACAAAAGCTGTTGGCTGGACTGGGGGTAAGCTCCACAGGGCTCAGTCCGCAGACAGCCATCATTCTAAGCACTTCTGAGTTGCCTCCTTGGACTTGGGAAAGAGAAGGCATGTGGCAGGCCGTCGTCATACCCACCCGGGGGAAACTGAGGCATGGACAAATCAAGAGTGCGAGCCTGAAGCCCAGTGGCAGGCCTGGGAGCAGCAGGCAGGCTTCACATTTCCAGGTGCCCGTCAAGGGCCTCCCTACCTGAGTGACTGTCCAACAGAGTGACGTGATTCAAGACAGTGGATGGCTGCCTAGCCCTACCTGAGGGGCCCTGGAGAGGGCCCGAGTGTCCTGGGACCCAACAACGCCCCGTCAGACAGCACGTGGACGCCCATCCCCATGCTCAAGCCAAGCCAAGACTGGAATCTTTGCTTAAATGCAAAATCCACAGAAAGAAGCATCAAGATTAAACGGCAGAGAGGGAGTTTGGGGAGAGGTTTTCAGAAAGGAAGGCTGGGAACTGCAGAGGAGAGGAAGTGAGCTGTCAGGAGGCGTCGCTTGGACAAGTGCCTTCCGTTCGGAGCTGGAGGGTGGAATACCCACTGAGCTTCCCTGAGTCTCCACTAACACACAGCAAAGGGTGGGAAGTATGCAAAAGGCACAGCCCGCACCAGGGGAAAGGCAGCAACCCAGCCCAGGGCCCGAATAGTCATGAGCGCAGACCGATCTCACGGGTCTGGGAAGGCCGACCCTGAAGTGAAGGCCCTGAAGAGCGTGGATCTGCTGGCTCCGGAAGGAGCAGCCAGGGTCTCCAGAAGAGGAGAGGAAGGGGGAGCACAGAGGGCAGCCTGCCCACAGCCATCCAAGCCCTCAGCTCCTCTCCCAGCCCCGGAGCAACGTGCCGCTCCCACCCAGCTTGCTGGAGTGCAGGCACCCGAGAGCGGCTGCAGAGAGCACGGCCCGAGATCAGAGCCCACCACAGGCCGCTCAGCTCCCTCCTGCCGCCGCGGCCTGCCACCAAACAGCCCGCTCACAGGCTGCCAGCAACCACGTTTCTGCCCCACTCTTCCACCAAGGTACAAGGATGCCCTCAAAACAGAACAGCAACAAGAAGGCAGCAGAGGTGAGAAGGTAAGGGAGGAAGACGCAGCTGAGGGGTGTCTGAGAGCATGCAGAGGGATAAAGAAAATGCACCTGGACAGAACACGCAGTGTCCATGGTTTAACCGAGGAAATACCCAGGCAATGATGGAAGTCTAAGAGACAGCATACGGAGAAAAAGGAAGAGAGGAAACCACACAAAAGCAACTCCAGAACAAGTTCAGAACCAACAGACATGGATTTCCAGATAGAAACAGTGCACGAGTGCCCAGGAATCTGCCCAACAGACCACTCCAGAGCACATCCTCGAACAATTTCACCCCCTGAGAATGCAGACGAGATCCCAAGTGCTTCTGGAGCAGGGAAAACCGAACCAAGGAGAGGATCAGGGCTCAAACTGACACTGGATTCTTACCAGCAGCACCCCAAGACAGAAGGCAATGGAGCAGTTCTCCATCTCTAAGGTAAAATGAATTCCAACCCATAATTCTAAACCGTTAACTCAAAACGGGAGGTAGGTGGTTACGGAGCATTTCCCGTGCTCCCTTTCTTAGAAAGCCCCTGGAGGATGCGCTCCACCAAAACAAGGGAATGAACTAAGCCTGCAGCAGACAGGCGGAGGAAGACACAGGACGAGGGAAGGGGACCCTGGCACAGGGTGACGGTGAGCAGTCCCAGGGACACAGCAGGGGAGCTGGCCAGAGGCTGCCTGGGGCCAGGCAGGTGCGGGCGAGAGGTGCTGCAGGAGGAGACTGGGCACACCTGAGTCAGTCCGGACGGGGTTGGTGCCTTCACTGGGGACAGAGGGCAAGTCAGGGACAGGAACACAGAACACTAAGCACATGGAAGAGGGACACTCATCAGCCCCAGAAAAAATGAAAAAGTCATGGAAGGAAAGAAACCAGTCCTCATGCACTCCCTGACCCAGGTATGGATGTTACCCGGCTAGAGGGAGGCGGACACTGAATACTGCCTGCCTGGCCATGCTGACGGGGGGCAGAGAGCGTGTGGGGTGAGAACACTGGCCCAGCGTGACGATGCACCGTCACCACCGGGGCCAGAAGTGAGCAGTTGATTACTACCCCAACCTGGAAACGGTTATCATGAAGGACGGTGGAGCAAGACAAACGGCCACAGGAGCAGACACGGGAATATGAGGGGAAAAGAAACAAGCAGCCTTTAAAGCCGGGTATGTAGGAGCATGCTTCACTCTGATTCTCAAACTCTGTCCATACTATCCGTGACTTGTACCTAGGCGCTGCCCTTTAATACCAAACAACCTATTTTTTTTTTTTTTTATAACAAAATGAAATGAAAATGATCACCAGTTTTACTAGGTTCCACCATTATCTGATGGAGACTGAGACATCTAGTTCTATTTGTGCACCGGGACAAGACCAGACTTCCCCTGAGCAGTGTCTGCAGGAGACGGTTTTGTGCCTTCTCAATTTCCCCACCTTTCATTCCAAAGAAGTTAAGAAGAAAGAAGTGTTACCCAGGGAAGAAGTGACACTAGGCAGGAGTGACACCAAGAGGGCCACACCAGTGCTCAGGAGCCTCCTCTCTAACTAAATGTGGACCTGAAGTTTAAAAAAGAGGGGCCCACACGGCGTCTGTAGGTGTGACGGAGACAGTCGGGGGGTCTCGCGGAACTCGCGGGCAGTGACTGCAGGCAGACTACTGCCTTAGAGTGAAAACCAAGACCAGGGCTGCTCCTGAAGAACAGAACCCTGCTTGGAAAAGCAGACTTGAGGGCAACCTACAACGGACTTTCCATTTGCTCAGCCAATGCTAGAATTCCTTGAATCTTTTATGTGGAAAATGTGTTCATCGACTCCCTGTGCTGTGGAAGAATTATAACCTAAACAAACTCTCAAGGAATCAAGTGCACTCTAACAGATGTGTACAAAGGATTAAAAAGCTGTATTAAGTCAGCAGAGAGACAGTCTCTAGCTGGGGGAAAGAGCCCAAGGATAATAGCACTGAACTTGGCTCTTAGAGATGGGACAGAATTTACCAGGTGTAGTTTGCGAAGCTTCAAGGTCTGTCTCAGAAACGACAGATAATTGGGTCCTACCGCTTAGGACACTCAGTAGGAGAGACTTCTAGGGATAAAAAATCTAACTTATTTCCACCTGACCATCCCACAGAGGCAAGATTCTACAGAATGGACTAGTTCCTTCCCCGTCCCCAGCCTGCCCCCAGCTTATCAGTATGGTTCAAACTCTTCCCCAAATTTGATCTCTCCAGGTGAAGAATACTCTACACACAAAAATCAACATTAAGAGCATATTTTGGAATGGATCTGCATTTCAGTTGTAGATTAACTAATTTGTTGCAAATTGCGCTTAAAGGCTCTAGTGTTTCGATTTATGCTAGGGAAACCCCATCTTATTAACAGGAAAGGCAGAGAGACTGTTTAGAGGCCAACTCTGATGGGGCTGGGCGGCCTCCAGGTGGCTTAGGGTCTCAGGGAAACAGCTGCGAGGCCTCACCTCCAGAGTGTTCGGCTCACAGCGCAGGTTGGAGAATCTGCTGCTGGCTAGGAGACTGTATTCTCGAAGCCTCACAGAATAGTGGATCCATACACAAAAAGAGACTTGATATCCTAAGTTTGATTGTCATCGTTAGTAATTGAAGTGTGAATTAAGTAATATGGTTAGTGAAATGACTCCGAACTCACTTGGAATCCATTTTGGTCACTTTCTTGGTGAAAAATTCATCTACACCTTCATCCACTCTCCCCATAAGACCGTTCTGTTCTCCATCTTGGGAGACTATGTTGGCAGCACAGACCTGCAAAATAAACACGTGATGCGGTTCACACCCAACACCAGTCAGCACACGGGCACCGCCGGCCGCAAGGTACCAGGTGAGGGCCAAGAGGGACCAGACACAATCTCCTGGCCTGGGAGCCAGGTCCACAGCACAGACAGGAAGAAGCAGGCCCCCGGGATACGCCTGGAAGCTTGGTGGTGACGTCATGCAGCAAAGTGAGTAGAGCTTTTTAACTCGGTGACAGAGACAACGAAACTCAGAGTAACTTTCATTTTGGTCACAAAAGGTAAAATAGCACGGAACTTGCTCCTATTATCACTTTTCCTTCGAGAAAGCAGCAGTACAGCGGCGGCAGCCCCTGCAGGATGAGGAGCTCGAGGTGCACGTGGGTTTTGCAGGCCATCACTTTACCCTCCCGACTGGCCTTGGGGCCCAAAAGGAAAGAGCTTCATCCTATTTGTGGTGAGTCACAGATGGGACAGGGAGGGAGCACCAGGCTGCCTGGCTCATGGCCGATTTGCCCCAGGCCTGTGGCTGACACGGGGATTCCTTCCAGCCGCCCCTCCAGTGACTCTCCGTAAAAACCCTAGGTTTTTCTTGCATACATAATTCCTCCCCTCAGCCCTTTCCTCTTTTCTTGCTTTGCAACAGTCACAGCTGGCACCAGGGCTCCCTGGGGACGTGGAGAACATGAAGGGGCGCAGGGATGGAGGCGCAGAGCTGAGCAGCCACCTGCTTCCCTGCAGGCCGGGCTGGGCCAGGCGGGAGGCTGGGCCGCACCTCACCCCAGACAACTCTGCCAGCGCAGGGACGAAGGACGGGAGCAGCGGGTGGGAGTGCGGGGTGGCTGGCGAGGTCAGCAGCTCCAGAGGAAGCCGGAGGAGCCTCCGCCCGCCCAGGAGACGGGCAGCAGGGAACCTGGAGCCTGGAAGGGCTGGAGTCTGAAGAGGAGTTCAAGGCCATGTGTGCCTGCTTTAGCTCATTTTCTAGCAAAAGGAAAATATTTGACTCCGGTCTTTACTGTCAGGGAGAATAAGCATCAGACTGAAGAGAGAGCAGAGTCTCTGGGGCAGCCCCAGCTGTGCTCCGGGGCTGAGGAGGCGTTTGCCACTAAAACTGGAATTGCTGCTGTTGGTGTTTAAGAAGTCAAGAAGGTGGCTCCCCATTGTAAAAGAGTGATTGTGAGTGCTGGAAGATCAGCTGGCCATTATGAGGACCAGCCATGCAGACCCCTCTGCTCCCGGCTGCCAGGACCATTAAGGAGGATTCACCAGGGGAACCTGGAGGCACTGCCCCTGGATCTTGACAAGGAGGTGCCAAAACTACGTCTTCACAGGCCGGGTGCAGAGACGCGGGCAGGAGGGGAGTCCAGACAATTAGGGGCATTAATAACTCTGCAAACAGATATGCCCAGAGCACGCTAATTAGCAACAATCACAGAATCGACTATGCATACATTAGGTGGCGAGAAATATGGAAATCATTGAGCAGAGGAAGCAAATCAAGAAACAAAAGCCCCAAGGAAATCAAATGAAGATGATGGAAGACAAAAATCAATGAACGAGAGGATAAACTAAAAGTTGATTCTTTGAAAAAACTAATAAAAAAACCACAAAATTGTTTAAGATTTACTAGAAATGAAAAACATAGCAATTGATACAAAAGAGATTAAAACTCTTCAAAGAATTTGATAAACAACTGAATGAGCAATTAGGCCAAATGGACGATATTGTAGTACATCAGAATGATCTGAAGAATTCGGCAACCTGAGTGGATCTGTAACAAATCAAATCCCAGTGAACTCTCTCCACACAGACACCATAGGCTCGCTGCACAGGGATGGACTTCCGCCCAGATGCCTCCCCAGTAGGGGAACGATCTCCGTTACACACAGGCCATACCAGAGACCAGGAAAGGAGACTGAGCTTCCTGAGTGATTTCATGAACACAGCATAACTCTGAAACAGCCCAGACAAGAAAAGAAAACTCATAGGATTCTCTCATTTTCACACAGATGCAAAAATCCTATGTAGATATTGGCAAACAAAGCCCAGCAGTCCATTAAAACAGGAAAATGTCATGACCCACATGGAAATCGATGAGCTGAGGAAGCAAGTCAAGAATGAGGAACCTAAGGAAATAAAATGAAGGCCGTGCATCCATCCACGTCTACCATCTCTCGCTGACTTAGTCACCTGCAGTATACATGTGATCAACTGAACATCCATCTTACTAGATCCTCTTGCAACTGGGGGTGGACACAGCTCATTTCATTTCAAAGAAACGCCACCAGAAGCCTCTAGGGCTTCTGAGTTAGTTCAGAAAAGGTGGATGCAGCCTGTGGTTGAATGAATGGAAGCATAGTCTTTGGAGGAGGAGGCTCAGGAGGATGGCCAGTCCTACAAAGCACCCTGTTTTTTACTGGGTGCCACAGTGCAGTCTATTACAACAGAGCAGAAAACCTGCAAATAGATCCCAGAAAGAATCAATGAGGAGCATGAAAAGAGATGAGGAAATTTTAGACTGAAGAAGGAAAGACCTCAAGTAGGGACCCACAAATATTTCTAAGTCTGCCAAGTATGAGTCTGAAGTAACATGTACTACTACAGGAGACTGACATGAAACGGCAAAGTTAAAACTACAGGGAAAGATTTCCAACAACACAAAAATATTCTGCCAACAATTAGAGCTTTCAGAAAACAGCAGCTTCAGAAGGTCACTGCAAGAGGAATGGCCAGCTGAGGGTTGTCGAGGGGGTTTTAAGCACTGAAGCAGGGGCTGGAGAGAGAACTCTGAAATCCTCGGGGTCTCCTCACACTGTGGCTCTGAACACTCAGGGGCAGGTACTGCCAGGGCTTATGGGCTTCAACCAGGGCTGGAGCGCGCCTTCCCTGGGCTGGGGCGCAGCACTGTGCCCAGAGCATGTGGCCGCTGGGCAGCAGGCGCCGGCTATTCAGAGGATGCTGGTGCCTGGTTCCTTGAATGATGAGAAGCAGCCTGTTCCTTCCACAGGGAGGCAATTCCCACCACAGGCAGAGCCCGGATCACATCCTGGATCAGGATCCCCCCGAAAGAGGACCTGCACCCATGGCTGGGGTCCTCCCCCAGGGAGGACCTGTACCCACAGTGAGGGCCCTCCCCCAGGGAGGACCTGCACCCACGGCCGGGGCCCTCCCCCAGGGAGGACGTGCACCCACAGTGAGGGCCCTCCCCCAGGGAGGACCTGCACCCATGGCCGGGGTCCTCCCCCAGGGAGGACCTGTACCCACAGTGAGGGCCCTCCCCCAGGGAGGACCTGCACCCACGGCCGGGGCCCTCCCCCAGGGAGGACTTGTACCCACAGTGAGGGCCCTCCCCCAGGGAGGACCTGCACCCATGGCCGGGGTCCTCCCCCAGGGAGGACCTGTACCCACAGTGAGGGCCCTCCCCCAGGGAGGACCTGCACCCACAGTGAGGGCCCTCCCCCAGGGAGGACCTGCACCCATGGCCGGGGTCCTCCCCCAGGGAGGACCTGTACCCACAGTGAGGGCCCTCCCCCAGGGAGGACCTGCACCCACGGCCGGGGCCCTCCCCCAGGGAGGACTTGTACCCACAGTGAGGGCCCTCCCCCAGGGAGGACCTGCACCCACGGCCGGGGTCCTCCCCCAGGGAGGACCTGTACCCACAGTGAGGGCCCTCCCCCAGGGAGGACCTGCACCCACGGCCGGGGCCCTCCCCCAGGGAGGACGTGCACCCACAGTGAGGGCCCTCCCCCAGGGAGGACCTGCACCCACGGCCGGGGCCCTCCCCCAGGGAGGACGTGCACCCACAGTGAGGGCCCTCCCCCAGGGAGGACCTGCACCCACGGCCGGGGCCCTCCCCCAGGGAGGACTTGTACCCACAGTGAGGGCCCTCCCCCAGGGAGGACGTGCACCCACACTCAGGGCTGGTCAAACAGGAAGGGCCCCTGGAGTTGGCCACACTGGGTTCCAGCTACCCGGGGTTAGAACTGCTTAGCAGGCCCCCGGCCACATTCTGGATGGCAGTGCTCAGAGGAAAGTGGGGCCCTCCTTCCAGACCTGGCCCAGAAACCTCTGTGTGGCCTCGCGCTGTACGTCACCCTCCAGCTGGACGGGACTCCAGGACCAAGGGCAGGCAGAGCCATGAGGCCAAGGCGGCCTGAGTGACTGCTGAGGACCCTGGCCATGTGGATGAGGTCAGCAGAAATAAACCCCGGGACGTTGGGGAGCTCACACAATGAAGGACCGTCCCCGAGTGCCGGCGGGACAGGGGAGACCAGGGTCACACCCGGCCTCTAGCTTGTCTGCAGGTGCCGCCTGTGGGGAGAGGCCACGAGAGGGAGGACGGCCGGCAAAAGAGGCCGGGGTTCTAAACAGTCCAGTCTGAGGCGTTGGCAGCCCCCGAGCTCAGGAGGCAAGCAGATTCCTGGACACGTGGAGGTGAGCCACAGGGACCAGACAGGGCTGATGGCACTGTGACAGCACAGGTGAAAGGGCCCAGTGGGACTTCACCTCCCTGAAGGACGGAGCTTCTCTGTCCAGTCACTGCTGGGACGAGAGGTGACAGGTGGTGAAGAGCCATGGGCTCAGGACGGGGCAGGAGGGACCTCGGTGTGAGGAGTGAGAAGGAAGGTTTTAGAGCAGCACAGGTGACAGGAAAGAAGGTCTCAGACCTTTGTAAAGCAGTGTGGCCACACAGGAGGGGGAGGCGTGGACCAAGAGGGGTGGGGTGAGCCGCACTGGGTGGGGGTGAGTGTGGGGGGGACACAGGAGGGGGGTGAGCCACACGGAGGGGGGTGAGCCGCATGGAGAGGGGGGTGGGTGAGCGAGCTGGGGGTAGTGGGGGTGAGGTGAGTCACACGGAGAGGGGGTAAGCCACACAGGGGTGGGGGGGTGGGGGGGTGAGTGAGCCGCATGGAGGGGGGGTGAGCCACACCGAGGGGGGGTGAGCTGCACAGGCTCGTCCTCCTGCCACAGGAGGAGCGGCTGCTGAGCCGGCCAGTGCTCCCCTTGGGCCCTCATCACCACATGGCACTGGGGGGTCATCAGGCTCAGGACCCAGAGCAGGGGTTCCCGCCAAGATCAGCTGCGAACACTTCACGAGCGCACGCCCAGGTGGCCTCTCTGCACCCAGATGTCCTCAGAGCCCAGACGCAGCCTGCCTGCGTATCTGATACTGGGGACTTCCCAGAGCCCTGCTCCAGAGCTCTGCACACACCCCAGGTGCAGAGAGGCCCTGGGGGCCTGCACAGTCCCGGGGCTGTGCAATGCACCCGAGTGTCTTCCCAGGAAGGACAGGGCCAGGGGACAGGCACCTACCGCGGCCTGCGTGGGCGGCTGCTTCTTGTTCCTCCGGGGCCGCAGCTTGGTGAAGTGCTCCAGCTTCTTGCCCTCCTCAGATGGCAGCTCGGAGATAAACCCTGAGCTCCGCTTCTCCTGCCTGGCAGACGGGAATGGCGGGTCTTCGATGTGAATCGGCACCTCTTCCAGGGCTTTATCAAGGTCAAACTCCATTTCTAAAATAAAACAAGGCCTGAGGTCAGAGTACAATGCAGACAGAGGCTAGGAAATTCCTGAAAGCCACTGTGAGTCTATCAGGGAGCAGCAAACACCCACTTGCAAACCACCTAAGTCTCAGTTGTCACCCACCCAGAGGATACCTAAGAAACGTCCCCCAGAGGGCTGTTTCCTGGTCACAAGTCACTCGGTACTCACCAAAGGCCCTGGACACAGGCCGCAGCATTCGGCTGTGGATGCTCTTCCTCTTGGATTTAGGCGTCATCTAGCAACAAGACACAGAAGGCACTTAGCACAGGACGCTGCCTTCCCTCTCCAACACAGTCCAGACCACCACGATGGGCTCCACTGCTTTGCAGGGGGGCTCAGTGCACTGGTGGCCTGGCTCAAGGTTGAAGGGCTAACTTCTAAACGTCTGCACTTCTCTCAAGCAATGCGCCTAACTCTGTCCTGTTCCCCCAGTCCTGACCATCTGAACTGACAGTCAGAAAAAACAGCAAGCAGCAGGGGATCTCACTGAGAGCTGGACCCCAAGTACATGAGGATGCTGAGGTGGACAGAGCGGGTGGGCTCCAAGACCACGAGGGCCAGTCGGGAAGGCTGACAGCAGTGCTCTCCACAGAGGCAGCACCTGTTCACTGTCACGGCGGCACCATGCAACACCCTGAACTGGGGGCCACTTGGATGATTTAAGCAGTTTAACTCTTTCTGTTTCACCGTTTGCTACCAAAATCTGGATCTTCACATCACAGGCAAAGACCAGTTAGGAAAAGTCACCAAAAATCAAAAGCCCATCGCTGGTGCATTGCAGCAGGATGTCCTGGGTTCTGCTGGTCCTTTAAACGAGGAAACCCAAACCCAACCAAGGCTAAAACTCAGGAGAACCTGCCCAGCATTAGCTTCTACCCCCAGAGAGAGACATTATCTGTCCTTCAAGAGGATCACGCAACGTCAAAGCTGGAAGGAAACTTTGTCATCGGCAAATGACAAAATGACCTCAAGTGCCAAGTCCAAGTCAGAGAGGTGCAAAGACGTCGTCCAAGGAGGAGGGCCAGGGACATCCTGGGAGGGTCGGCCACCACACTGCTGGCTGCAGGCGCACAGGCAGACGGAGGGGAGAGATGCCAAACTAGTGTTTGTATAAATTACGAGATAACTGAACTTAGTGGGAGTACTCTGATTGAACAGGTTTTCGTTCAAGGCTTCCTCAAAAACTTCACATGATTGAGAAACATTTCTTGTTCAAAGAATAAATTGGTTCATGATGACTTTTAAAAGCAAATAACTTTGTGGTTTTAGCAATTATGACAGCTTTAATAACAACATTCTTTTGCTATTATTTATTGTTGAGAGAAAAACATGAGCAATTATATTTAAATCCTGAACGGTTTTCCTACATTACAAAATGAAACTTTCCGAACTGCTTCTTGGGAGGCTGCGTTAAAGGCAGACAACCTGAGGGACAGCTGTCTGCAAAGCAAGAGGTCTCAAGGCTGAGTAAGAGCAAGGTCCCCATGGTGCAGCTGCTAAGGGATCGTCTGAAGGCAGTGTGCCCACGTGGCTTGCGGCTGGCCGAGAAGAGTGGCCCACTGCTCTATTCAGAAGTGCAGCCTGAATGAATTCTCAGGAGTTGCAAGTAGCAAGGTGTTGGCTGTGTTGAGCTGGGAGAGTTCAGAATTCCACCCACCCTGTGCACACTGGGTAGGAAGAGGATCAGGAAAGAGTCTGCGATATGATTTCCAGGCAATTTCATTTATAGAGTCAAAAGGAAAATGGGAAAGAAGTTTAAAAGTGCATGAACTAAAGGTATCTTCCATTTTTTTTTTTTTTTTCCTGTGTCTCTTGGTTAAGATTTTATAGAAAGTATTTATGGGCAAAAATAATCTGGCTCAAATTTCCCTCTCAGTAAAGTGTCTATAATGGACACCAAATACATGTAAATATATGAAAATTATAACATTTCAAATACGTAAGAATAACTTTATGTGAGAATATATATATATATATATATATATATATGCATAAGCATACACATATAGAAACTCTTTTGCACATTAATGCCCGTCTGTAAGTGGGCCAGTTAGCTATTTTAGAGACATATTAAGAAACACAAATCCAGGATTTTGAGTGGCCAACATCAGTCAAAAGGGGGATCTAATTTCTTCCCGAGGATTTTGTTCTCGGACACCTCAAACCAGAGAATAAAAATTTTGAATATCAGAAAAATGCCTTCTAGCTCATTCCATTGCTTTGTCATATTTTATAAGCTCTTTACAAATGTAAATAACATCTAATTGTGTTGCCCATAGTGTTCTTTCATTGTATGTTGTATCTTTTAGTCCTGAAGTTTTGCCAGGCGGGGTCAGGCTGATGACTTTTGCAATCAGGCTACCTGCAGTAATTGGTATTAAGAATGCAGTCGGCTTCAATCTTCTTTTCTCATAGGATTGAATTACAATAACAGAGAGGGAAAAACTGAATCTTGTTTCTCTTATATGTTCCTTTCCTTCCTTGGGGATTTTTTCTTCCTACAGAATTGGACTTGGTCGTTCTTACTGGTCATTCTCATTGATAACCCATGACGTGGGAACTCAAAGCAGGAGGCAGAGTGAGAATGAACTTGGGTTCTCCACCAGGTGTGTACTCAGGGGCCAGTGTTCGCTGGTCCTCCAGAAATCCCGTTGATGGGCATCCCTCTCACTCCTCCTCCCCACAGCGGTGGGGCGGGCTGACTGCTCCTGGAAAACCTGCCCTGGCCATCTTCCCAGAACCGTTCGCTCTCTTCTCTTTTTGTTCCAGAACGGAAGGGCTAATGTGCCCAGGCTGACCTTCCTTGGACCCTGGCCAATGCCTATTCCCAAGTCAGCTGACGAGACCAGGCGCATTCAGAGTGGCATGGCCACAGACGCGGGTCAGCAGCTGACGCAGAGGAGGTGCACATTCCAAGTGGCTCCTTCCTAAATCCACTCATGGTCAACCCTGTCAACAACTAGACACAGCTAACTTTTGAAATGCATGTTTTGAGTAAGAAGCAATTTTCAATATTTAATATCCTTTAGAAATAGGAGGAAAAATGTGTTAAACCTTTATTTGAAAATGGAATTTTAGAAGGAAAGCCTCTACACAGACTTCTCTCCTGTCTTGAAATCAATAAATCCCCACCCTGCCCACAGCTGTTTCCCAAGAATCCGAAAGTAGCACCAACTCCACGTTACTCTGAAATCTTACTCATTTGATTCGATTTCTATAATGGACTTAAAACTCTTCTGCACGTAGCTCAGTAGAGATATGTCCACTTTAACCACGAGTTACGTGCACATGTTGGAACCTCGTAAAGAACTCACATTTTTCTCCCTGTCAAACCCACTTTTAATAAGCATTGCTATACATGCTTTTTTTTTTTTTTTTAATAAGGAGAGTTAAATTGCTTATATCACCAGGAAAATAAGGTGAGGTTGTTTTCTTCTTTGTTTTTGCCAAGTGTGCACAAAGAGTAATAAATAATACTCTCATTCCAAGCTCCGGAATCCATAATTACTTTTTCCTTCCGTAGGCTAAAGAACCAAAATGCTATCAATTGAGAAGTAGATTAGGAAAATTTTCCAGTACAAGATACAAATCATGATGCCAATTTTCTATAATTCTATAATTCAAAACAAGTGATATTACAAGAATCAGAAAAAACGTAGAAAGGTTAGTACTGGTGTCTGTTTTTCACTGTGAGCAGCCCGGTCCCCCTTGAAGGCTGGCGCCTCTCTATTAGCACCCAAGTGCTCTCAGGCTCACAGCTGGGGTGGCTTAAATTCAGGGCCCGTGTCACCAGCTGGACCGTCTTGTAAGGCCCAATCTCGTCTCTGTAAACTGTCGCGTGTTTCATTCAGGATCTGCAGATGGATGAGGCTCTCCAGTCCCCTGGGAGGCTAGCCAGGCAGCACAGAGGCAAACAGACCCAGGAATGTCAACTAGACCAGCCAGAAGCCGCAGAGCCACCAGAAGTACTTACGCTTGTGCAGCAGAGAGTCTCCATGCAGCAAAGAGAAAGGAGAGACACATGAATGGGAGAGAGGTAAAGCCACAGCATCGCTAGGAGGGGAGGGGACACCATTCACAAACAGAAGCACCCAAGACACAGGAGCCTTCCTAGCAAAGGGACAGACCAGCAGGGGCCAGCGCGGTCAGGGCTCCAGGCAGCCAGCAGAAGCACGGTGACAGCTTGAACAACTGCAGACACTGTACACAGATACGGCTCTGGCCGAATTTGTCCCCAACGCCATTTACCAAGCCCACATTGATGTTGTCATCAACCCCACCTGGGGATTGGTGACAACATCAGCTCTGGGGCCACAGGATCATCCCAGCAACAGAGAGGACAGCGCCTATCTGTGGGCACAGCCACACTGAACTTTCTTGCCCACTCGGTTCTCAGAGCTTTTGAGGCAAGGCCGTGACACTTCCAGAAAAGTGTGATTATGGGTACATTGACACAGTTACGACACTTGGTTCCCTAGTGGGAATTTAGGTCACCTTACATTTTATGTTGAATCTCTACTAAAATACCTTTTAAAACTCCCACGGTCTGTCATTCACAGTTGATAGGGCATTTTATTATTTTGAAATTGATAGATGAAAAAAAAAATAACATCTCCAGCTGTAGAAAAACTACCAATCCAGGCTATAAGAGCGGCATGGGGTGTCAGGGACTCCGTAAGGAAGGCTGCCTACTCCAGCCACCTGCCAATGGCTTTCTTATAAGCTCTTTACTCTTGTTTCAGTGGCTCACAATGTAAAGTAGACTGAGAACACAGGGCTCCCCACTTCGTGCCCACCAGGGCCGGGGTCTCCCCAGAGGAAAGGTAGCCCGGAGCAGCAGCACCCATCCCACCTCCGCCCCCTCCGTCGCTGTGCGCGCTGCTGAGAAAGGCTGCCACCAGCCGCGTCTGCACAGGCGCGGCTCCTCAACGCCAATCTCACACAGCCGTCGGGCAATTTTCCTTAAACGTGATCCATTGTAGACCCATTCCATGAGCATGAAATGCTTGCCGAGTGGAAGTGGAAAAAGTAAAATTATATTTTCAGACCTTATTGAATTGCCTGAAATAAAGACTCCTGTCCACGTTAACACAGATCTCCCGAGAAGCTTCCAGAAAAGTGTGATTATGGGTACATCTGTGAGTGTCACAGCTGATGGGAAATCCCTCTATTTCTGAAAGGTTGACTCAACAAGACGGGTCCTCTGTCCTAATCACGCCCGTCTCGATCACCCGA